GTGTCCCCAACAAGTCTGGGGACACGGCCTTAAAGGGGCAGTGTCCCAATCTTCCTGATGTCCCAAAAAAGGTGTTTAAAGGGCCAGCACCAGTCACATAAAGAGTCCATAAGCCCCAATATGCCCACCGACAGTCTTAAAGGGCCATACACACCAAATAAAAGTGCATACATTTTCACAATCTCCCAGGGGCCATAGTCATGCGGGAGGAGGCTGGCAAATAGGCTTCTCCACAACCCAGGGAAGCAGGGCAATTTGCCATTTAAAGGGCCCGTTACAAATAGCAGTTTGTAACAAGGTGTCAATCCATATCTGCCAAGTGACCCGATGTAGGGGGAACAGTCCCTATTCTGCTCTGTGTCAGTGTGTATCATGGTCTCTGAGGACAGGTGTCAATCCATATCTGCCAAGTGACCCTATGTAGGGGTAACAGTCTCTATTCTGCTCTGTGTCAGTGTGTATCATGGTCTCTGAGGACAGGTGTCAATCCATATCTGCCAAGTGACCCTATGTAGGGGGACCAGTCCCTATTCTGCTCTGTGTCAGTATGTATCAGGGAACCTTAGGACAGGTGTCAGTCCATATCTGCCAAGTGACCCGATGTAGGGGGAACAGTCCCTATTCTGCTCTGTGTCAGTGTGTATCAGGGATCCTTAGGACAGGTGTCAATCCATATCTGCCAAGTGACCCTATGTAGGGGGACCAGTCTCTATTCTGCTCTGTGTCCGTGTGCATCAGGGGCTCTGAGGACAGGTGTCAATCCATATGTCAAGGTGTAAATATGTCATATGTCAGGTGTCAATCCATATTGATTGTGATTTAGGAATGTTAGGTGATTTCTGCCTTTTATGGATTAAAACCAGACTCTGTATCAACTGTGTAATTTTCCATGGGAGTTTTGCCATGGATCCCCCTCCGGCATGCCACAGTGCAGGTGTTAGTCCCCTTGAAACAACTTTTCCATCACTATTGTGGCCAGAAAGAGTCCCTGTGTGTTTTAAAATTCGCCTGCCCATTGAAGTCAATGGCGGTTCGGGCGGTTCGTCGGTTCGCGAACATTTGCGGAAGTTCGCGTTCGCCGTTCGCGAACCGAAAATTTCGGGTTCGCGACATCACTAATTAACACTTGAATTAGTTATTGTGCCTGGAGTCCTCTGTGACCACCACACGGTTCAGTATGAAACCATTTCAAACATTTTAATACTGCAGCTTGGCCCCACTCTGTGGTTTAGATTGATGCCCATACAGTGATGAGTGCTATTATAACTTGATATGGTTGATGGTTTGCTAGGAGAATCTTATTCAATGAGGTGCATAGAATGTCCATTTCAGATAACTTGCTCCTTCTACAAATTAAAACTAAAAACATACAAATTAAATGGTATGACAACCCAAACACACCAAGAAATCCCTCCGCCACAAATAGCCACCACTTCCAAACAGCTAAAAGTTACTGAGAAACTTATTTATAAACCAAAAAATGTAAAACAAAATATGGTTATTTAATGCTGATTTAAATTGTATAACATGTTCATTGTAGTTGTTCTGGTCAGTAAAGTCCAGTGGTTCCCAACCCAGTCCTCAAGTACTCCCTAACAATCCAGGATTTAGGGATTAACCAGCTGTGTCTAAGGTGTTTTAGAAAGAAAGAAAAACACTTTAGACACAACAGGGTAATCCTTGAATCCTGGACTCGGAGGGGCTACTTGAGGACTTGGTTGGGAACTCCTGGTATAGTCAGTCCCTCCAGGCTTTTTGTAGTAAACACAGTTTTTCAAAGAAAATGCAGTGTTTACATTACAGCCTAGGGATACATCCAATTCTACAGATGTCTAGATGCCTTTTTAACGTAGAGAAATGCAAAGTTATGCACTTCGGGGTTAAGAATGCACAAGCAATTTACACCCTAAATGGTAGTGAACTAGGGACAACAAATTAGGCAGCAATATGCAATGTCAATCTGCCGTTGCTAAGGCCAGTAAGGTTTTGTCATGTATAAATAGGGGCATAAATTCTCGAAATGAAAATATAATTTTGCCTCTTTATAAATCACTGGTAAGACCACACCTTGAATATGCTGTGCAATTTTGGGCACCTGTTCTAAAGAAAGATATCATGGCACTAGAAAAAGTGCAGAGATGAGCTATAAAAGTGATAAAAGGAATGGAGCATTTTAGTTATGAAGAAAGGTTAAAAAATTTAAATCTCTTTAGTTTGGAAAAACGGCGCCTGAGAGGGGATATGATAACATTATACAAATATATTCGGGGCCAGTACAAACCTTTATCTGGAAATCTATTCATAAACAGGGCTATACATAGGACACGAGGTCACACATTTAGGCTTGAAGAAAGGAGATTTCATCTAAGGCAAAGAAAAAGTTTTTTTACAGTAAGAGCAATAAGGATATGGAATTCTTTGCCTGAAGAGGTGGTTTAGTCAGAGTCTATACAGATGTTTAAACTGCAATTGGATAAATACTTGCAAAAACATAACATACAGGGATATAATTTTTAATTAGTGGGGTAATAGCTGCTTGATCCAAGGAGACATCTGACTGCTATTTTGGGGTCAAGAAGGAATTTTTTCCTAGTTTGTTGCAAAATTGGAAGCGCTTCAGACTGGGTTTTTTGCCTTCTTTTGGATCAACAGCAAAAACATATGTGACGAAGGCTGAACTTGATGGACGCAAGTCTTTTTTCAGCTATGTAACTATATATACTAACGGTTCTTCCTGGGGCAGCAGACATTCATGACATTCAATGTCTCTGCCCTCTGCATGTAGACACTGAACTTTTGTGATTGGCTCAGATCATCACTTCTGATGATGTCATCCAAGGAGGCAGATCAGAGGCAGAGCCAGCACCAGCAGACTGGAATAAAGGTAAGATCTTACTATATTTAGGGGGCAAGTGGGTTCCAGCGGGGCTAGATAGTGTTTTTAACACTATAGGGTCAGGAATACACGTTTGTGTTCCTGATCCTATAGTGTTTCTTGAATCATTGGAAGATCTGTTTAATCATCAGAACTTTTACAGGTTTGTTTCTCAGTGTATGTATATTAATCACTTGAGTATTTAATTGATTTGATGTAATTCATTCTCTTATTTATCTTTCTTCTATTTTTCACCCCTTAGTCCACCTTAGTCCATGCACTCTTTTGTGAGGGTTTTTCTCTTACACATTAACAGCATGATGACTCAGCAGGTCTTGTCCATCTATCCATTACCTTTCTTTGTTTTATTCTTTATTTTCATAGTGCAAAGGATAACATACATGCCACAATAGCATTGACAAGCATATTGCAAACTGTAGATACAGTGTCATGGCATGAGAGAAAAAGTTGCAAATTTTTTATGGTTTTAAGCAACAAGCTGAACTATAGGTCTAATCATGACTAGAGAGAGTACAGGCTCAGGAAAATTAATACTAGCAGTAGATTAATTGAGTCACTGTGTTAGGGTGTGTATGTAGGAGCCGTGTTAAGTGTGTGAAGTATATCATGAGAGTTGCAGCGGTAATACCCCATGGAGGCGCTCATGTAAGTGGCATTAGAGGAGGAAAAAAAAAACTAAAATAGTAAACATTAGAAAAGGCCAAACAGAGATCAAGGGGCAATAACCCACAAAATATCACAGTGCATCAAATTGAGTATGCTCAAGTGACTGAAATAAACCTTGCAGTTCCCCACAAAATTTTGCAAAGCAAGAGTATAGGGAGCATCAGGGTCTCTTCAGAACTCCCCCATTCAACCTCTGCCTTCAACAGGCACCGAACAGTCTTGCGCTGGTGGCATATGCTTCAGGTCGGATGGAAGCCGGTAGCTCTGTTTTTAAGTCAGATACAGGGTTCCCTGCAGCTTCTCTGGCTCTGTGTAAGTCCCAGTCGCAGCCAGCACCTGTGCCCGCTGATGCACCTTCTTGTGTTATCCATTACTTTTTTAACTTCAGCCTAATATTTCACATAACACAACTATTCCTGAATCCCTTACTGACACTGCATAGTTAAATCAATTTTAAAGTTTCATATGTCTTGTAGTCTTTCATTTTTGTACCAATTAATCACTGTGCAAACAATATGCTAACTAATAAAATATAGTATTATATTATCTCAATCTAACTCCTCCTGGTGCTAAGATCTTATGGGTTTTGATAATTTTTATAATGATTAATTGTTTCTAGTTCTAGTTGTATAACTCGTATATAAACCTTGAGTAACACGTAATGTCATAGAAATAAAGCGAAATATTTTGTATAATTACGCAATTGTATTTCTTATTAATTCTTCCTTTACAAAAATGTTGATATAAGAAGTTTAAGAGGTTATATCTTGGAAATGCATAGAGGCATTTTTACTAGTAAAGATCTCCCAGGGTTATTTTCTCAAAGAGAAGCATTGGGGTGTTACAGAGCATGCACATCAAACTCTATGAAAAGCATTGACTACTGCTTTAACTGATTGCTCAAGTGAGTGTCTGTTCAAATAAGCACTTCTATGTTACTAGACAGAGAGGACACTGTTAATCCATAAAGCACTTCAGCAAGCAGAATTATTCTTGCCGTTTGGAGTGTTTTTTTTAAATGTATATTATTATTAGGCCGGGCCTGATTGTCATAGTGGGAAGACGTGCCTTACTGAAGCTCCCTACTAATCTTGGTCAAAAATGCTAAAAAGGCACCTTCTGACCACAACAAACCACAAAACTTGACTCTAAGCGACTTCCTAACTCTCAGTCCTCATGGTGAACCGGTGATGTGGCCCATGAGTAGACGACAGACAGCAGGTTCCACCTGCGAGGGCATGCGGCCTGGAATGTGCCGGACTGAAGCGGCGGCCGAGCTCCCAGCCTGGAGCTGCCCAGAGACCGACTGCTACAAACGGGCACCCCGCAACCCCCCTATTAGACCGGTGTAGGTGATCCCGGTCCACCCCTGGGGGTCCTCCCTGACACGGCGGAAAAAACTGAGAAGCTGATTGGAGAGCTGAGAGGCCTGCCTAAGATGGCGGAGACCATGTGGCCTGCAGGCAGCCAAGAGGTGCAATGCGACCCCTTGTCCAACCTGGACCGAATATTTAAAGACTTCTGGCTCAAGCTCAAGCACAGACTGCAGCAAGGAGCTTCACAACCACCCACCCCAAGCTGCCCACCACTACATCTGCCACCCGACCCACAGCAAGAACTAGCAGCCCAGGTGGGGCCCAAAACCGTGAGATGGCGGCGGATAGCCAAGTATGTATCTCACCCGCCTCAAGCACCCACTGTTTTCGGTTGCCACGGTCCAGCCAAACGACCCCTATCATATCCGCTTGCTCACCACACCGCAACACGACTCCACCAGCATCCACAGCAGCGCCCTGCACAGCCCCAACGAGGCATCGGATGAACCACCAAAGGCGCATCGAAAACCTAGTTTCATGACTGGGAGACCAGACACGGCACACAACACCACACTCGGGGGACTGATTCTCTTTATGCCGGCCTGTCCAGAGAAGGATTTACGCCTGGGGGACCCCCGGGGACTTTATAATTATTTTGTATACTCAAATGCATTCTCAAGTTTATTTTGCCACTTCAAGCTTAAGATACACATTTAACTTGCTTAACTAGGCAAATATAGATACCTTTCACATGTAAACTATTACTGCATGTCTTAGCTTGCTTAATGAAGCACAAATGTTTATGCTCCTCGAGAATGCAATTCCACATATCTTCAGTTTTCAGCATAACTAATATTGTCATCTGCATAAGTAGCCTAGTATTTTTATTATAAACCACTAATGATTCATAGCCTGTTAATCACATTATATATAAAATGTGCTTTTTTATATGCCACATAATGGAATGCTACGGAATTGCTTGCAGCAGCTGTCGTGGCTATGCACGCTTGTATGCAATCCTATGCACAAGAAAAATAAAGAATTAAAAAAAAAAAGTGCTAACGTATGCCGCAGCACTTTACAATATTATAAAGGGGAACAATTAACAATAAATTAGACAACTACTAAATGTTACAGGAAAAACAGGTTGATGAATGTCCTGCTCAAAGGAGGTTACAATCTAGAGGAGGTGGGGTATAAAAATATAACACGATGGGTATCGAAGAGAAACATAGAAACATAGAATGTGACGGCAGATAAGAACCATTCGGCCCATCTAGTCTGCCCAATTTTCTAAATACTTTCATTAGTCCCTGGCCTTATCTTATAGTTAGGATAGCCTTATGCCTATCCCACGCATGCTTAAACTCCTTTACTGTGTTAACCTCTACCACTTCAGCTGGAAGGCTATTCCATGCATCCACTACCCTCTCAGTAAAGTAATACTTCCTGATATTATTTTTAAACCTTTGTCCCTCTAATTTAAGACTTTGTCCTCTTGTTGTGGTAGTTTTTCTTCTTTTAAATATAGTCTCCTCCTTTACTGTGTTGATTCCCTTTATGTATTTAAATGTTTCTATCATATCCCCCCTGTCTCGTCTTTCCTCCAAGCTATTCATGTTAAGATCCTTTAACCTTTCCTGGTAAGTTTTATCCTGCAATCCATGAACCAGTTTAGTAGCCCTTCTCTGAACTCTCTCTAAGGTATCAATATCCTTCTGGAGATACGGTCTCCAGTACTGCGTACAATACTCCAAGTGAGGTCTCACCAGTGTTCTGTACAATGGCTGCTGCAAGCAATTCCGTAGCATTCCATTACGTGGCAGATAAAAAAAAAAAAAGAGGATAGTAACTAAGAAACAAGGTGGGAATGTAGCAGAACTGGAAGTTGAGAGTGGAGTGTGGCCCTCTAAGAGACAGCAAGAGACAGGTTTGTGCATTAGAAGTTATTTTATATGTCTGTTTTTCCTGTGGGATCATCCACCATCTACGTTATAAGGCAGGGTATTCCACTTTTTTTTTTTCATGCAAAATGCTATCTTTTTTTGACCTGTTTATTAGTATGTCCTGTTGTACTATCCCATTATGGGAAAACTATTTACATTTAAGAAAATCTGCCTCTTTCAAAACTGCTAAGCAGGTGCTCATGGATAAAGGAAAAGAGTTATTAATAAGCAAGGGCAACAAAGGGATATTTTCCACTTGCCCAGCATGCCAATGGTAACTACGGAGGAATGAGAATTATTAACGTAAGGAGTTGTTCATTATTGGTGACAGTATATCAGCAGGAGCTCTCAGGTCTCTGAGTTGTTTTGTATCCATTACCTGCCAAAGGAAACTATAATTTTACTAGTAACTATTTTCATAGCATTATATTGTTTAGTCTACTAGCATTGACCATTATTTTCCTCTATAAGTCCTGTTCTGGTAATATATTCAATTTCACATCCCTCTAAACAACTCTAAATCAAGGATATATTAATATGGGATGAAACCAGTCCCCAACTGACCTATCCAGAATTGTAAATTCATATCATTTTTGGATACAATCAGACATCCCTTAGGGAACATAACTAGCACATGTATAAAAAAGTCTTGCAGAGTTAATGAAATGTTAATGTTCAGACTTAAAATATTATAGTAGTAAAACCTGAGTAGGTCATGATTCCCTTATGAGTAATAAAAAAGTAGGAAAGTTGAGAAAAAAACATGTTGGAAAGAGACAATCTGTGAAGATATTGATGACACAAGTTTAAAGTGGACAGAGTGCAGAGTAAATAAAGTAAAGTAAAGCAAATAAATAAAACAACGTTATAAAATACTGATTATCAGAAACAGATCTTCATGAAAAGTGACTAGAATTACACAATCCCTCAAACTCCGTATTACTATTTTTCAATATAAAAACTCTTGTGAATCAAGTGATATTGTTGCTGGTGTTAATTATTTTTGAGGTCATCAACGGAGGAACTCATTCATACTGTGTCGATTCAGACACCAAAAATATAATAGTTGTGTTACATTGTGTGAATTTGTAACATGATACCAGATTTCAAAACACTCTAGTACCTTGTCACTCACTTCTATATTCTATAACCATGATAGTTTATTTAATACACTGGATATGGCTCTCTCACAGCTTTGTAGTTTCCTTATTGAAGCCTTGCCACGGGTATGCATATGCAAGATAGAAAGTGACGCAAGTAGCTTTATTGATGAATAACATGAATGAAGCTACAATCACATTTTAATAGAAGCCACCATTTCTTAGCTATAAAAGAAGAGCGTTCCACAAACTGCAAGTATTATTACAGATGCCTTTGTACCAAAGAAGGGAACTTTGAACTAGCTTTTTATTTGTATTTTTTTTTTTCATAAGCCAAGTGTCCATTTATGTATCTATGTGCCTCATTAAACCTCAGCTAAAGTCAATATTCTTAAAGGCAAAAAATAAATATGTATAATTAATTTACTTCAAATGTCTATTTTCTATGCTAAAAGATCTAAACCTATAAGGTAACACGACTAACTCTATGCATATTTACATATTTTATCTACTGGTTACACTATGTTTTGTTTGTAAATGAATAATTTGTTTTATTAGTGTTCAGGAAAGTGTTCAGGACTGGAGATAAGAGTAAGAGTAATAATGGTATGCCATCATGGGGGTAATTCTTATTCCTGGGCTACCATACAGTCTCAAAGACAACATAACCAATCTGGAAAATTTCAATGTGAAAAAACTGAAAAATGTAACATGCTATATTTGGCCTGTAACTTCCCAAAACACCATAAAACCTGTACATAAAGGGTACTGTTTTACACGTGTGATGTCGCTGAATACAAATATGTGTATTATATTGCAGTAAAAGCAAACAGTATTATGACATTCACAGTTAAAATGTCATGCAGAACTAAAAAAAATAAGATTTCTTAATTTCTCAAATTTTTTATATTTTATTCATATTAAATTATGTTTCAAAGCTAAATATTTGATGTTAAATGAAAGCCCTATTTCTCCTGAATAAAATTATATATAATAAGTGTGGGCACTTAATATGAAAGAGGTAAATTACAGTTGAACAGACATATAATCAAATTCCAAGTTCTGTTTATGTTTTATTTCGATCAAAACGTGTACATTTGGCTCAGTCCTTAAGGGGTTAAAAGATCAAATGAAAAGTAACCAATTCAAGGAAAAAAGGAGGAGGAAAATAATTCTATATTTTAATGTTACTGTATATTATATACTTATTTATTTTTTATTGCTTGTCTCGTTTTCACTTTATTGTTTACTTTTCGTTTCACTTGATCTGTGAACCAAATGGTGTAAAAATCAGTGAACTGGAAAATGCAAACATAAGATTTATATTTTGCAATACACCAATTCTGCACCATTTTAATTCATCTGCATAAATGTCCTGAATATTTTTGCTTCGACGATATTTAGACAAGTTGAACTGCTACATGGATGACTATCAAACTACCCAAACTACATTTATTTTTTGGAAAAAGTGATTTGGCCGAATCAAGGTTTTCCACTATGCACAAATATACAAAATATAAAGGTATGAAAATAGCATGAAGAGGGAAAAAGAAGATAGGATGGTGTAATCGGGACTGTAGAGAAAGAATTTCCCCTCAACAAATAAAAAAAAGTAAAACCCACAAAGAGCAATAGCTTTAAGTTATGCAATCCTTGTAATATAATAAAGACCACCCATGGGTACCAGGCCACTGCAGAAATGTCCATCCTACCAGAAGAGATAAATAAAATCTCCTCAATGAAGTAAAAGAGAAGGACCCAAAGGCTTTCTCCAGAATACTGGGATAAACCTCCTGACTTTATTCATTTTGTAGACAATGAAGATTTATTTGAGCTTTGGTGTAGTCTTTTAGTGGAAAAGCATGGAAAGGTGAGTAGTGAGTTGGAGAACTTGGAGAGAATAATGTGGATTTTTTTTATCCGTAAAAGGTCAAATTAAGTTTTTCAAACACTAAGTTGCTGAAGACACATTGTATAAAATGTTGTTTACCAGGGATTGCCATAAATAAGAACAGTTTATGGTCAAGTGAATATTCAACATTTTAAGATACCAATATCCTTCAAGTCTGGTTGGTGCCGAATTACTCTTCAAGTGCATGGATAAAAATATAACACTGATACCGCAGTGCTATTTATCAAAGTGATTGTGGAATCAGATGTTTTCTTCCAGGCTCTAGATCCAGTTGCAGGAACATATTGTTATGCCAAAATCAAATAAAAGTTCTTGGATCAGGGTTGTTATTTTTTGGCTCATCTCACTTTTCTACTTTCCAACAAACCTCATGACAGTGAAATATGAGGGAGAGAAAGAGGTATCTGAAATGACAAAAAGGAGCTATATAAACTAAGCAAACACTGGTGAATGATGCTTATATTATCTAAAGGAAAGTTTGCTGCCAGTATCTAGTAAACTAATAGAACCAAAACAAAAGAAGCGAGTGCATTACTAAACTAAAGCTG